GGTGTGCCTCTAGCAGCTGAGCACTTGGGAAACCAGGCTGGTTTCATTTTGGGCTGGGGTGGGGAACAACAAGGGCTCAGCTACAGGACTTTGAGCGTGAGCTACAAAAGCCAAACAAGCAGCTCAAACATTTTCATTGCCATCCATGCTGTTGCATCTTTAATGTTAAAACTTTTGCCTAAATTAAAGCCAGTATAGGTGTTCCTGCACGCATGCCTGTGTGCTACTGTTCCACTATAGACATTTCTTTTATAAAAAAAGTGCAACTGTGGAAATGCCATGTCAGAGACACAGCATGGCTGGCTGCTGTTCATCCCAGTCAGCATGGCTGACCTGCTGGCCCTGGCTCACCTGTGCAGGGGTGGGTGCCAGCAAGCCTGTGAACTTTATTGTCTTTGATAAAGATGTGGTTTCTCAAACCTCAGACTTGCTACAAAATGCTCAAGTGACTTTTTGTCTCTGTTCCCAAGGACTTAACAGGAAAGGTCCATAAGAACTATTAATTCTGGAGTAGTCAGTAAATCATTGTAGTTTCCTTTGAATAAAGGAAGACGAGAGAAAGAGAGAAAGAAAGAGAGAAAGAGAGAAAGAGAGAAAGAGAGAAAGAAAAGAAAGAAAGAAAGAAGAAAGAAAGAAAGAAAGAGAGAAAGAGAGAAAGAAAGAGAGAAAGAGAGAAAGAAAGAAAGAAAGAGAGAAAGAAAGAAAGAGAGAAGGAAAGAAAGAAAGAAAGAAAGAAAGAAAGAAAGAAAGAAAGAAAGAAAGAAAGAAAAAGAAAAGAAAGAAAGAGAAAAGGAAGATATTTTCTTTTCCCTAATTTTAATCTCTAGGGCATTTCCAGTGGTGCACTCACTCTGCTAACTGGGAAGTTGCTCAGGAGCCTTTGAAAGGTGCTTCCTGTGGGTCCTCTTACCACTGGCAATAGTCTTCACCTTCTTCTACCATGAGAAGTTGGTAGAACTCCTTAAGCTGCATATTCTAGTTTCCTCACAGCCAGTCTGGTTTGGTACAGCATATGCTACCTGGGATAGTGGGGCCTACACACATTTTCAAAGCTCCGATCTACAGATCTTGGGATTTTGTTTTACAGCTGACTACGAGCTCACTCAACTCCAGGAAAAACTGAGAGAGACAGAAGAAGCTATGGAAAAATTAATCAACAGAGTGGGACCTAACTGTGACAGGTATCTTTCAAATTACTGCATTTTAAAGAGAGCACCTGCTCTGATTAGATATTAAACTTTCTTACACTGGCTACACTAAAATAGCATTTTTCTTACTAAAAACTCTAGAATTTGCACATCACAATTCTTGTTCTGCACTTTTTCTCTTTTCAGTGTCTATATCTAAAATAAATACTTTTTTCCAAGTTCATTTTCCTTAAACAGAAAAGCATCTCTCCTTCCCCTCCCCTTTGTACGGGGCGTTATTTGGAAGGTAGTACCATGTATCTGTAAACAGGAAATAAAACATCTACATTTAAACTTCCTAACCCTGTCTTATGTGACCAAAGTAATATCCTGCATGATTCCTAAGAGGCCCTTTTGTTTTATATTATTTTCCTATTCTATGGATAACCTGTCTTATGTTACCAAAGTAATATCCTGAATGATTTTATATTATTTTCCTATTCTATGGATTATTTTTCTAAACGGCAGTGCTGTTTTAATCTCTGTAAAGGCCTTTTAGAATATCCATAAAATATTTCTTTAAGGGCAGAATTCTATAGTAATCTCATTCCATAACTTAGTTCCACCCTGTAACCAGTAAATCCATGCCTTTGCTTCAAACATAAAAGGAAAAAGAAGAATCAGAATTTAAGAAAATATTATTGTTTACTATAAATCTGAGACCACTATTCTACACTGTAAAGAAACCCTGCAAACAAGACTATGTTTTTCATAAGGAGTGTAGCAACACATCAATAGGACCATTTTTGCCATGTTTGGAAATTTAAATATCATGACTATGAAGGTGGCACTTGGCTCAGCAAGATGAGGTGCCAAGGCCAGGTTCCAGCAGGAGAGCCCCTAAGCTGCCCTGGTTTTGTTAGTGGAACAGAAGGATACTATTTTGACTATTACTCCTCTCTGTTTTGGAGAGCTAGTGCAATGCTCTGCATGTACCTTTAAGCTGCTAGAAATAGGCTTAGGAGCTGCCCACATACTGTGCTGACACTGAGGATAGGATATTCTTTTACTGAGAAAATGGGTTTAGGGTCTGATCAAGTATTTGTTCCACTCTGTGTTATTGGCTCGGGGCCTCTATTTAGTAGAACTTCCCTTCTTTGTCCAGCCGAACTATTTATATAGATGGATCTGAAGGCCTCAGGGGAAATCAGAATCTGAATCTACTAAAGAATTTGGTATGTGGCCTCTTTAAAGAGAAGGGGGAAAGCACCTCTAGATGGAGCAAGTAGCTGTTTTTTCAAATAAACCCCGACTTTGAAGCTTTCTTAATCTACATTGTGATACTCATTAGGTTCAGTAATGCTGGATGAATGTCTTAAAATAAAATGTATGGTTACAAAGTATAATTAGAGCACAGAATACAGGGCTGAGCGTGTTTAATCTGGATGGTGATAGATTTAAATACAAAGGAAAGAGGAAGACAGCAAAAATTACTTGAGCTCCATTTATTAATATGAGTTAAACAGAAATCCTTTTAACAGAAAAGTCAGAGAAATAAAAAATTGGTCCCAAATTTAAACTGAAAGACCCTCGGTGAGAGCGTGGCCCATTATACTAGATATGACAAAGTGACTCCCAGCCTGCCAAGTGAAGTATTCTTAACCAAACCAAAGGATGGGTTTTGCATTGTCACAAGCCCCTCTATCACCATAACACACCGTGTTGGTAACAGTGCTGAGGTCTGAGCTCCAGCCTTGCTGTCCTCTCTCTGTACTTCAGGAGTGTTCTCCTCCTTGCTGAACTCCTCCAGGATTCATCCTGGCTTTCTCCTTCTGATAGGAATTCTTAGAATCCAAAGGCAATCTAATTTTGTATATTTTCTTAAAAAAACCCAAAACATTGCTTGTGAAATCTGGAGGAGTTTGGAAGGTCAGTTTATTCTCAGATTATGCTGTACCATAGAGAGAAATCCTGTCCAAAGGAATAATATATACTGTGCTATGTGATTTTATTCTGCTTTCTTCTGTAGTAGGTGTACATGTTGTTTTCCTTCTGTGGCTTGTCCTGCTCATTTCTGTGTTCCTTCAAAAGCACTCGAGTGCAGTGAGGCTGGAAGAGCTCTCAGTACCTTTAGATGGTTTTCTCCAATGGGATAGTTAGTATTACCCAGCCCTGTGATGTAGAAGGCAGGCAGGCAAAAACTTGGATCTGGTTTTTACCAACCAAGGAGACCTCCTTTAAACCAGCATACCAGTTGGAATTGCTACAGCTTTAAGTACAGAAGACCCCTTGCAGAAATGCAAAACAATCAAAAAGTACAAGTGCAGATACTTTTAATAAGGTCGAGCATGTATTGGCAAGGGCTAGCAACAAGAGGAAGAAGGAACTGCCTGGCCAGGTCCTCAGCAACACAACCAAATCTAAACTAAGAGATGGACAAAGATAATTGTCACCTAACGCACACACTTAATTGGGGAGCGCATAGTGCCTGAGGATACAATGGCTCAGATCTCTGAGAAAATCTGTCACTCTTCCCAGCTTCTTTTTCAACAGGTTGTAAATTTAAATTACAGTTTTGTTATTTATCATCACATCCTATCACTAAGGGGACCTCAGAATCTTCAGTTTCTAAATGTAGACCTTTAAAGTCTAATATCTCTCAGCAGAGAGGAGCCTTGCTGGGAATTTGATTATCCAGAAATAAAGACTTGATGGATGGTTATATAGGGCTCTCTGCATTAAAAGCATGCCTGTTGCTTTTCCCCAGGCTTTTAGCAGTGCTGCAGTGTTGGGACAGTGGTACAATGGGTACAGAAGGTTCCCCTACCTAATCTTACAGATGTCTTACCCATATTCTTTTCAACGCTGTCTGTAAAATTTGTTATTTTGGAACCACTTTGAATTGAAGAGTACTTTTAGTTTTTCTCAATGGGAGTATTATACAATTTTACTCTCTGGTAAAAAAAATGCCACTTTCAGGTAATTAGGTAAGAGCTAGAAATAATGGAGCTCGATTACCTGTTTCTAAAAATCCTATTTACCAGGCTGTCAGTTTAAAAAACTGACCTTTTACCATAAACAGAGAAAATGGGGCAGAGGGTGTGTGGAGAGAGCAAGGAGAGAGAGAAAGGCTGTACTCTGTGGGATGCCATTTTGGGGCTATAGCTGCATGTTAATAATGATTATTTTAAGATCATAAGCAAAAGAATACCAGTTGACATGCCTGAGATACCATCTTAGATTGTGGCCTTTCACTGCAGTCAGGATAGTTCATCAGGAAATGTTCTGATCTCAGTGTAAGAATAAGAATCTTTTACTGTACCCATTAGCGAGCACTGGTGGGACTCCACAAAACATCAGCATTGCTACTGTGAAAAGTAATAGCTGTGCTGGAGCTACAAACACACAGAGGAAAAATAATGGCACAGGGAGGTGCAGAGAAGTGAAGTTTAGCTTTGTTCTCTCAGTCAAACAGTTGAATCACTGCTACTGAAGCCAGTGGCACTGCTGCTGAGGTAAGTTCAGCTGCAGACAGCTGTGTGTGCAGCTGTGCACGAGACCTAGCCCAGGGCCAGCACAAACCAGCTCTGTGATGCTCATCTTTTTGGCCTTAAACTAGCATGACTCTGCTGCCTTCAGCAGAGTAACTATCGTGTCACCATCATTCCCCTACACGTAGGGTAGCACAAAGTACCTGCTAAAGTGCTGCTCTAGTTGCAACAATTAGTAGGAGGAGAAACTGAAGATGGATGCTGCTGTTTTTCAAGTTCATGAGAATTCAGGTACCTGAAACAAAGATGGATACTAATCACTGAAATCAAAACCCATTAATCTGTTTCCAGCTCCCCTCTCCCTATCTCACCCCTGAGATTCACTGAGCAGCTGTCTAATCTTGGAGATTATCTGTCCATCTGATGGGCTGGAGATCACCAGAGGTCATCTGTCTGACCTCACCTACCACAGTTCAGCATTCTGTGCATGCCCAGAGCCACCCTCTCCAAGTAGCTAAGGGCAATAGGTCCTGCCCCAAACATGGCAGGATCCAAGAGCACCAGAGTAGTGCCTCAGGCCCCTGAGGGGGCTGAAGTGGCACTTACACAAACACCTGCTCAGGAACAAATTTCAGCTCAAGGTGAAACAAGCATAACCATGTCAGAACCATCTTCACCCCTGAGTACAGCCAGTATCTCTTATTCTGACCTACTGAGTGAGTTAGTAGACCTCAGATCACCACCCTCCAAATACTTCTCTTTTTTTTTTTGTCCATAAGATTGTTAGGAGACTACTTCTTTTTCCAGAGAAAGTAATGAAAAAACAATCTTATCTGTTGGAAGCATTTTTCTTAGAACAGTTAAGTAATTGTATTACCTGAGTGGTAGTAATTACTAGAACCAGCAGTGTAGAACCAGTTAAAATTATAGTTTGCTTTTAATCTGATAAAAATCTCAGTGCTCTCCCACTCTCCCTCTGGTTCTAAAGAGCAAGTTAAAGTTAAATGTAGCATCTTTTAATTTTTAAATCTTCCTTCCTGCTTCTCCCTTCACCTCCCTGTCAGGCAGCATTGTTGGTGCTATAATAACATGATGATCTGTCCAACTGACATTTCTTAATGAGACTTTGCAAATTTAATACCTGTAATGGTCCTAATTAGGGATCATTAGACTCTTGAGACTAATGTCTGTCTGAGACATTTTGATCAGCCCTACAAGTTGCTTTAAATGTAGCATAGGCTCCGAATTACATTTTCTTATAGTGCTTCAAACAATCATGGACCTCTAAGTCTCACCTACCAGTCTTTTAAAGACCAGAACTTTCTGTAGTGTCTTTTGTACCATAACTCCTGTGTTGCTTTTGCCTTGCTCTCACGTTGCCTGTACCTGCCTTCCTTGACCTTTTTTTGCAGGCTTTCTGGATAAATGGATAAACCTTTATAGCGAGCTGAGGTGCAGACCAGATGCAGATGTTGAACAGTGACCAAATCCAGTGGACCAGCAGACAGGTTTCTTCAGACTGTGCTGCTGGGATGGGCCACACAGTTGGGTTCAAACTCTGGTAACAGTTTGTAGTAATGGACTGAATTCTAGTGTCTAATTTTTTCTAGCAGGACTAAAAATGTTACAACAGACCAGGAAAAAAGGTTACTGCAGCAACTCAGAGAAATTACTAGAGTTATGAAAGAAGGAAAATTCATCGATGGCATCTCTCCTGAGAAGGAAGCTGAAGAAGCTCCTTACATGGAGGACTGGGAAGGTAAGCAAGAGCCCTTCCTACCCTTACCCTGAGGAGGAGAACTGAATGAGGATTACTTACAGTCCCAGAAACTTTCATTATTTTTTTGTTAACTTTGTCCTTCCTTTTCAGAAGTCAGTGTTCAAAACTTTGCAAAAGGTGGTTTGTTTTCCCAACCATAATGGAAAGAAAATGGATTTTGAGGCATCCAGCATTTCCTTTATTGTAAATGCTACACTATCTGCTGCCAAAATTGGCATATGAATATTGATGTATGCTCCACCTGTTGCTGGGTCCTGGCTGCTGGAAGTTCATATCTTTCCCTTTGTTTGCTGGGTTAGATTTCATGTAAAATCATAAAACTCTTGGAAAGCAGAATCAATATGTTTAGGATAACTTACAGTTTTTACTTTTGAGTAGTCATTCTTTGCTTGCTCCAGTGTTTTAAAAGGCAACTCCAGGAAGACTGTCCTTTAAAAATTCTTTATTTTAATGTCCTTTCAGTGCCTTGGTGTTTACTTGTTACATAAATGTTTCCAAGATATCCTAGTTGAGCTGCTATCATAATTTTAAATGCAGACCTAATTCCTTGCTTTTTAAGAAGCTTTCAGTAATGATCCAAAATATAAAGCGTAAACAGTGGCCTCGAGCTTTAAGTCAAGTTCATGATGCAATTTCTAAAACAAAATGCAAAGTCACTGACAGAGCTGTTTTTTCAACTGTATAAATAATGCTGTTTATAGCAGAAGTCTTCAAAACATGAATCAGTCAATCTGTAGATGGAAACAGAATAGAAGGATCTATTTAAAGATCTAAGGCATGCAATTTTCACCTGCTCGCTCACATAGCTTTCATCAAAGCTCAGATGTTCACCCCTGGAAGCCAGGGTTGATGTCCTGGCTCCCTAAAACTCAGTGGAGTTTTCCAGTCATCTCCCGAGAAGCCATGTTTTGCAGAGCCTCGCCATGGATTTAATACTGTGACTATACTTGGCATTAAATATGACATGTACTGGCAGTGCCAAGAGCTGTTCTAAAGTCAGTACTAATTCTAAGTGCTGGTAACACTTCGAACTGCCTGTCATTTATTCCTCAGGTTATCCAGAAGAGACCTATCCTGTCTATGATAGTTCCGATTGCTTCAAGCGCAAACAGGACACAATCCTTGTAGACTACCCTGACCTGAGCCAGCCCTCTGCAGAGGAGCTGGCAGAAAGAATGGAGGGCATGGAAGATGAGGAGCATCTGTGCAATGAAGCCCTGCTATCTCATCTCACCAAGGGAAGAGCCAGCCATGATTTCATGCAGAAAAAGGATGAGTTAACTGGCACCAGTGAGGAGGAGAGGGACCTTCAGCACAGCCAAAGCGTTGAAGAGTGCTGCTGTTGTTACAAGAGTGATGATCCTGCTGTCATAGCAGAGAATGCTGGATTCCACTCTGAGAGCTGCAGCGAAGCAGAGGAGTCAACCCAAGAGGACCTGTCTGTGGAGTCAGAAGGTGAAAATGCAGCACTGAGAAAGCAGAAAGCCGGCGATGCAGCTGAAACGGGCACGCTGAGAAAGCGCAACATGAAAGGACCTGAGGAATAGGGACAATAGCAGATGTTATCCAGCTGGTGAAGGTGGAGGTCACGAACTGTCATTCCTGTAGGTTTTGTTCCAGTCAAGACTCCTCTGTGTTCATCTCCTTGTACCGATTTCATTCCCCTGGTACCAGTCAGTCAATCAGCTACCTGAACTGGAAGCCCTCTTTCATGCAGTCTTGTCATGGCTTACCATGACGTTGCCAGTGGAGCTTGTCCTTGCTTGGAGCAGATTCTTCTCCAGTCCAAATAATTGTATTTGTTGCTTTTCCAGTTCTGAAGCAACAGTCCTTGGTTTTGCCCTTTGTCATCCCACAGTTAACCAAATGTCTCATCTGACTTTCTCAAAAACATATGTGCTACCAGTTATGAAAATTAATCAAATCCATATGTATTTATGAGATGACTGGGATGCTGGAGGAGAAACTAAGCCTTCTTTCTCTAGCCTGAATGTTAACTGATCAGCAGAACATGACTCTTTATCAACGTGTCATTGCGGCTGTAAACCCAAGAAACTGTTGTCACTACAATCCATAAAACTTATAAGCTACCCCAGCCCACAGCCCATCTCCCATCTTATTCCATGCTGCAGGACCTGCCTAATCTATTTTGTGTTCCAGGAAGAGTATGAACAAGACTGTAGTGTGATGAGTTGCTCTTTGTCTTTGCCATAGCCATGGTGAAATATCTTGGAGGAACTCCCAGATGAGTGTGGATTGCCGAGCTTTGAGGGCCTCAGGTTCCAAGGATGCCTGGAATCAAGAGGGTCCAAGAGCAAAGTGGGTGGCTGCCCATCTTTACGTGCTGGGGGAGAAAACGTGTGGCTGCAGGAAGCACAGAGGAAGAGGAGGTGGCTTCAGCTGGGGGCATGTGGTAGCCTGTGGAGATGGGTCCACTCATGGATCAAGAATAGAATTGGATCCACCTCCAGCACGGCTGCCCTGGCACCACTACTCCGTGACACCACAGCAGGGGCGTCGCAGGAGCACCCAGCACTGCAGGAGCACCCCACCCCTGGCACCAGTAAGTGCTCTCTGAATGTAACCAGCCATACCTTGCACAGCAGCTTGCCAGCAGCCTTCAGACTGATATTCCTCCTGTTTATATGACACATCCTTGTCGCTCTTTGCTTCAGCTTTCCCCCCTCTGAAACAGAAATGTCGACTTAGATAAACATTTTAGAAAAGGATCAGCTCAGAGCTGTGTCCACCTTTCTTAATGATTGATTGTTCATTATTAGCAGAGAGCATTCTGCTTATGTGAATAAAATAGGGATTCTCAAAAAACTTCTATTAAATAAGTAAATCAAAATTGTAGGTCAGAACATCAGCAAACCTGGGACTTCGGAAAAAAATGTTAAGTGGTCAGGTGGACACCCAGTGGAAGCAAGCCAGGCTTATTAAAAGCACATGCTCCTTCATGTGCAGTGTTTCCTACCTAGCAAATTAAATGGGTATACTTTATATTAAAAGTAAAAGAAATAGCACATGTGTTGGTTATATTAAATAGTCCAACAAAAAACTAGATTTAAAAACCCACAAAAGTGCTTATTTCTTCCTGGATATTTGTTAACGGTTACAGATCATTTCAGGCATTCCATGGCATCAGAAAAAAAAGAATGATGTATAAGATCAGTGCTGGTCCTAAAAATACTGTAAAGAGGATTAGTTATCAGATAGTATTTGGACAACAGATGAATGTGTAAGAAGTTTATGACCTAACTCGTTGCGTTAGCCATTAGTGTTCATATGCTGGATTCTTTCCTTTTCCAGCTAAGAATATTACGATTAACTCTGAGGTCACAGAACAGTCTAGTTCAATAATCCTCTATTTAAATGATTTTTACTTGCACGTCCTAATAAAAATATTGATTCAACCCTTATGTATCACAAAGCCAGGTAAGAGTTAGAAAATGATCTATTTTTTAAGTGTTTTTGTACCACCCACATATTTCAAAGCAAATGAATGCAACAGCAGGTCAGACAGTGCAACCCATGCACAAATACAGCTGGAAAGATTTGTCCAGTCACCTGATTTTTCTCACCTTTGGAGCTTCATCAGTTTTTGGTAAAAAGCTCCTTATGTTAAATAACCTCCATACACTGTAGGTAACTTATCAAACTATTTCTAATGTTGGGTAGGAAAAGACATAATAGTTCAAAAAAAAAAGAAAAAAAAACAAACTCAAGTGTTCTGTTTTGACAAACTCCAGAACCTCTGTGATACACCCAAGGTGAATTATGTGAAAATACAGAAATAAGTTGTTGCACATACTGGTAAATAAACATATTTACTACAGAATACCAAAAAGTTTCTTTAAAAAATTTACTTTGGAAAAGCACCTTCTTGCAGGTTTACCTAAAACTCCATTTAGGTCTGAACAAAAATGAGATGCCCGACTACAACCAGGTCATGACAGTCTTGTAATATCCTACAGGCACTATGGAAAGAACAACTGGTTAAATGTTAGTGCTCACCATTAAGACATTTGTTTTGCTATTTTTGAGAGTTTCCACTCTTTAGTCCCTAGATAATGTAAAGGAAATCTAGACTTTAACATATGTAAATTCTACTCTAGATCATTGGTTTATCTAAAAAGGCAAAGAGATTAATTACAAGATGTTTACTGTGGGAATAAAAAAAATCTCCCCAAAACCCCTAGCTAATTTGCTTTTACATTTTATGGGGACAGAAAAAGTCATGTAGCAATTAACATTTTCTGCTTCTTAAAGTTTAAGTAAACCAGTCAGGGAAAAAGGTGTATTTGTCTTTAGAGGCTCACAAAGTCCCAACACAGTCTAAAAGAGGTATTTCTACAGCTGTTCCCAAACACTGGCTCTTTCAGACTGTCGTTGGTTGGATGAATACAGTGCTGGGAAATACAAAAGTAATTCAGCATCTACTGGTAACTCTCAGAAATTAACCACCTCAAGAACATTTACTTGCTGAGACACTTCTAAAGATGCATCGAATTACAAAACATCCTCCACAGTTATTTTTTCCCTTGTTCCTCTACTCTTTGAGTATAAGAAACTGTTCAAAATAGAGAAACAATAGCCTGAGTCTTGCAATGATAGGGCAGGGATCAACCCATGGATCGAATCACTGCATGGGCTGAGCCCACTGCAGTCAGCTCGAAGGAAAAGGAAAAAGCAGGTGGCTCTCTGGAATACACACAGACTCTTTCATGGGGAGCATTTAAGAGAATTGTTTTTAATCATTTCCACAGAAATATTTCACTTGTTCAAAATTATTTTAAAAGGTGTGTCAAATAACAGAGGGTTTTTTTGAGATATTTTGCAATAATTAATGCCAAGACAAATTAATATCATGGTTTATACTGTCCGTGTAAATAGTGGGAAAGAAGACTGAGCAATCCCCAGGTATCACCAAGGGAAATTTTTAAGACTATATAAAAATGTGTGTGTGTGCACAGCATAAATGTTTGCACATATAACATTAGAAAACGCTGGGAAAGTCATAAACCCACTCCTGATATTGAGAGACTTGCCCTACTGGGCATGTGTGTGCTCCTCTTTGTACTTTGTATATAACCACCAGATGACCTTATGTTCCTGTCACTGAGTACAGGAGTTTTTTATTTGAAATCAACTGTTAGTTTCAATCACAAGAAAAGAATTTTACACTTTTAAGATACTAACAAAATTATCAAAGCTCCAATATTTGTCTTTTTTCATACATGTTTTACAGTAGCCCACTGTGAGAGGTTTGTTTCCTGTAGACCTTGTTTCGTAGGGGAAGTCCCTGTGTGATTTGCTGATTGTTGTGCAGGGTCAGTTATCCAGCATTATCCCTTAAAGCAGGGGCAGCTATTACCAGTGTTTTGGTCTTCTAAATACCCTGTTTAGCTGCAGGAACGACATCAGGATTTGATGGCATATTTAATAGAAAAGGTCAACTTCTTCACCAGATGTTTCAGATCCTCCTTTGAGTGTCAACAAGGCTTCATGGGATGTATGTTAAGAGCAAAATTAGGCCTCCCTTCCAAATCAAATTTTCTGAATTATTCATGCCAATAGTGCCCAACTTCTGAGATACTGATAAGCCCACTTTTAAGCCAAGCCAGAGAAGCAGACATCCAGACTCTTGCAGAGACATGCAAGTGTGATATTATGGAGACACAACAGAAGTGAGAAAGACACGTTCAGTTATACCAGCAGGCTTTGGATTAGGCCTGAAATAGAAATAAACGAGTAAAAACATCATGTTGAAGAAATCTGCACATAAATCAAGTTGTCTAGGAGAAACAAGTGGTATGGGCAGAGCTCTTGCCAAGACCATGCCCAGAAGCAGTGCCTACCACAGTCCAGCAATGAATACTGAGGTCCATTACATGCTCTAGGTGATGCCAAGATGGTTTTGTTTGGTTGGTTTTCTTTTTTCTGGACTTATGGCTCAATATAGTGAGTATATTATATTAAATATAATTTAAAAGTGTTATCTTTTGATACGCATTGTAAACACATGGAAAGTTTAATTCATTTAAAGAGCCACAGGTCCTCATTTCTGCCTTCAGGAGGAGCTATTTCTTCTGTATGAGGGGAGCTGTATCTTAATGGCTTCGGTTCTGCAGTTTCTTTGCTAAGCTTCCATGAACATCTTTGGAGCACCCAGGGTGGGAAACAGCACACAGAACACATGCACTGTCACCTAGCAGGATAACAGTGAGCACATTATAGCTGTGTTGTTTAGTGATAAACCCATCTGTAATAAATCTGTTGTGTTTTTCTTGTATGGTGGCTGCTTGCATGAATGCTAAGAGGGGCTCTTATCCTCCAGATCCAGGCAGATATAAATGAAGAAGAGAAAGAGAAAGGAATATTATTTCTGAGAGACAAGCATATCTCTGATGGGCACTGTAAAAATAAACCTAGTGATACTGGCATCATTTACAACCTGCTCCTAGCATCAAGCTCTGCTGTAGTAGTAAAGCTGTTGCTTTCAGCATACAGTCCCCAGATCCCTGGCGTCCTCAAAATCTAGTGA